TCGAATTCATTTTGCAAACAGCAGGCGTATAAACGTAGTATCTTCTGGCTCAAAGTTCACCTGTCAGTTTCTCCTCGTCCTTGGACAAGGAAATTTTACTTTGGCTTTCGGTTTTGCTTTGCTTTTGCCTCTGATTTAGTCAGCTCAGGTGAATGATATAAACTTAATTGCGGAAATTGGGTTAAAAAAAGAAGAAAATTACGAGTGCAGGGGTGCGGGATGGGGAGGGCAGAACTTTGACACATGTGCGGGTTAAACAAATTTATGTGCGTCCAAGTGAGTGTGCCAGTGTGTGTGCCAGTGTGTGTGCGAGTGTGTGTCGTTCATTGACTTGACTTGACTTTACTTTGCCCATTGGCAGGAATAAAAATGGGAGCAAGGCGAAAGTTTTTCGCACACGTCGCAAAGGAACCCCTTTCCGCCCCCTTTTTGTGCCGTTGTAATGCAATTTTATTTCATTTCATTGAAGGCAAAAGTTTTCCCTTCGAATTCTTTTACTTAACTTCTTCCTTCACTTGCCGCACAATCCCATTCTTACCATCGACTTTCCCGCTTTTCCCGCTTTTCCTGGCAGGGACAAATTTGCCGTTGCCTAACCCACTAAGACGATGTATGCAAATCTTTGATGTAAGTAATAATTTCCTTCCTGTATGGGGGGCGAAAAAAAGTGTAATATATGTGGGAATATATATAGACGTACGAATATACATACATACCTACATACGCATATGCAGAAAGCCAACCAAATGGCAGATGAAACTTTGCGATTGTAAATTATGAACGTGTGAATATTGCTTTTAGCATTTGCGAAAGTTCCGGCACTGATTTGCCAAATTCGCCAAACGTCAACGGATAAATCATGGGTGGGTGTATGTTTGTTGGCATTGCAGAGCCAAGAAAAGTTTGAATCCGTCATGGTTAAAAGTGGGCCAAAGACAAGATTTCGATGGGCTACAAAATTCAATAAAATTAAAGCATGTTATTATAGGATTACATTTTGGTTTCGCGAGTCCAATTTGCGGCCAAATTGGGGCTCATCTTTCCGGCGAATTATCGCCTTGGGAGACCAAAAGGCTTTAAAATGCTATTAAAAGACTACTATATAGTATAGCAGAAAGTTGCCATGGAGTTCGCCTTTGAATATCATAACTTTTCTGGTGGCGTTGTATATCAAATACACCAAGTTTGGCAATGTAAACAAAGTTATTCACAGCTACTGTAGATTTCGTCAAGAATAGAATGCGTGAAAGTTTGCAAAACAAAATGTAAGCAAAGAAAATTCTAGGGAATCAAGCGATAAGTGGTTTAAATGAATGCTTTTTGCTGAACGCTAATTGTTGAGTTAATCACTGAAGATCGAAATTATTAAGAACCATAAGGTTATACTTTATAGTTGCTTGAGATTTATTAAGGACAAATAATAAAATCTTTGCACTCGAGTATGGTCAATATTTAGATTAGTATTATTAAACTGTTAGAAATATGTTTAGAAACACATGTAATATATTTTCGACACATATTTTCACAAAGGTGTTAGAAGTGCCTAAAAATTGTATGCATTGCTGTTTTTCATTGCACACATCTGGCCATAACTATGCAACACCCAAATGCATGGAATTTTTAAAAATACGAGCTGGCAAACCGTAAACGATTAACGAAGCCAGCTTGTTCAGATTTAGGCCACTTCCGGATTTCTGGTCCATGGGCAATCGATGCCGGCGGCTTAAATTCTGTCGACTGGCTTTAAAATGCAATTTTCAAACAAATGCGGGTTTGGTCGACTGCTGTTATCCAACGCCTTGGTTTGCCATTTTCCGCCCGCTCCATTTGCAGCAAACTGCCCCAACTTTCCCAAAAAACCGCCATCTGCCCCTTGCCCGTGGACATTTTCGCACTTGCATAACTTTGACAGCATTTTTGCAGAATTACAATTAACTGCCTAGCCATGAATGGTCCTGAAAGAGCCAGGAAAGGATTGGCAGAACCAAAAACCAGGAGCAGCAGTTGCAGTTGCCGCCTAAAAGTATGCAACCTCACTCACAGGAAACACTTCGAGTGTGTGTGTGTGCGCGTAAGTGCTGACAGTTTTAGAAAATATACATATTTTATCATAATTAATTAGTCATAATTAATTATAATTTACGAATATTTATGTATTTAATTTATGCAAATATGAAAAATAAAATGAAAGGAAAATGAAAATAAAAGAAAAATGTATAAAATTGTATGTATAAAACAATTTTTGGCGATTTTTTGACTGAATTTCGACATGAACTGAAGAAAATAACTACTTTAATAAAATCCCTATAAGTAAGCTTGCAAAGCTCTTTATATAAATTGCTTTCATAATCGGAACACAAATTAATTACCTTTTGTGTGGTAATCTGATTAAACATCCGAATTTTCACCCAAATCCGTTTGTCTTTATTGTCCTTTTAATGCCGTTTTATTATACCCGTTACTCGTCAATTGTAAGGGTATACCTGGTTCTTTGAAAAGTATATAAAAGAATATTTTCTATACCACAGCACACAGCTGCTTGTATATTTCAGTCTGAGTCTCAATTTCCCTGGCTTTTCATAATCAGAGTACTGGGTATCCAATAGTCGCGCACTCGACTACAGCGCTCTGTCTAGTTTTGAGTTCGATTTGTCCTGTTTTTTGAAATGGGTCGCCGGCATCACTGCTGTGAATGTAAGTGTGTGACAGTGTGTGCGTGTATGCCTCTGTGTGTGTGTGTGAGTGAGCGGGCTTCGAGGGGGGGGTTATGGGGAAATTTGTTCCATTTTACGCTTTCTACACAAAAACAATAAATCGCTCACAGCATCAACAGCGTCAACTTTCCTAATGCAGCGGGTCGCTGGATGTTGAATGTTATATGTAGGATGTTGGCCGAAGGATGTTGGATGCAGGTCCTGTTGGCGAATTGGTAGGGCGGTGAATTTGTGGAATGGTAAAATGGTGGATGCAACCGGAGAAACGCCAACCAGGATGCCAGCAATTGAGGCTGAAGCCATTTTAACTGCCACTTGAATGGTAACTGCGAAAAAAAGAGAAATAATAGAAAAAAACAAACTAAATATGCATGCATGTGTGTGTGCGCGTGTGTAAACTAGTCTTCGGGGGCTAAAACTGTAAATTGTAATTTTCAACTTTTAAGTGGCTGCTACGTGTGAGGCTTTCCCGCCACCACTCTTCGTCCTCGGGAAATGATGATGGAAAATGAAAATGAAAATCAAGTTATGCATCCGCCACCCAGTAGTTCACTATTCGCGCCCACTTCAGTGTTGACAAACGATTGCTTTGTTCGAAAAGTTAGCCAGCAGCGGATAATGCCAGTGTTGGCAAATATAATGCGAGTGCAAATGTTTGCGTTATCAAACAATACAAAAATGGATGATTGAATAACAGTCATATTAGAACACAGTCTTAGGTGCTATAATATTACACAAAACTAAATGAAATAAAAATACTGGTTTGCGCATTTAAAACTTTTGTGTATGAGTAGAACTCAACGAACAATGACATTCAATTAATAACCAATACACCCGAAGTTTTAGCTTGAAAAAACCTCATCTCATTTAGCCAACTTTTGAGTGCTGGCCAACACGACCAGTTCCCCCAGGTTGAGTCTGGTTGTGATTGAGTGGGTCAGTGGGCGGGAACGGCCAAGTGAAAGTGAAGTGAACGTGATTGAAATTTTATCTCTGACAAGAAATCGAAAGATATATTTAGCCCCAGATGTGAGCTGGGTCACCGCCCCCACACATTTCGCATCTCAGCCGCAATCTCAACCGCCGCTCACAAACGGGGATTTCGATGTGAATGTGAATGTGAATGCGAATGTTGATGGGGCTGGCGATAGGGCTGGCGATAGGGATGGCTATAGGGATGGCTATAGGGATGGCTATAAGGATGTGTGTGCGTGTGCCAATTCAATTCTTCAACGGGTTACCCACGCAGTCCGTTACGTCGCCATCTTTCTCCTGACTTGACTCACTCGTTCTATACACCCCGTTTGCCATCCCGTTTTGCACCCCGGCGTTATTTGCATTGAAATGTTGAGTAATTGGAAAACCAATCTGAAGCATCTGCAGCTCTTGTTTTGCATACCTCTGGCACCTTCCTAACCGACCTCGTCGACCTCGCCGATTTTTCAAACCGAAATCAACGTCGCAGTCACAGGAGCGAAAGTGAAGGGAAGCGAAGTGAAGGTAAGGACGCAGCGATGCAAAAGACACTTGCAAAAAAACCTATCACAAAAGGTTTGAATTATACTTGGATTAAAAGCCGGTTTTTAACCAAATGTGTTACATGAATTGGGAAATGTGCGCTTAATCTGTGTTAGTGGGCGCCAAATTGTAATTGTTTTTGAGCATTCTACATTTCCTACTCATTTCTCTCTGTGTAGGGCTTTTATGGGCGGTCGACAGGTTGCTTCTCTTGTGGCGCTTCACTTGCTAAAAATAAATTGTTTTTAAATAGCTCGCATCGCTCGACACGCTCGTCTGAGTATCTGCTACAGACACAGATACAGATTCAGACACAGATTCAGACACAGATACAGATACAGATACCCCTTACTTACCCTATATAGTACCGATAACAAAACAGTAATAGTAACACCAACAACGGCAACAAAGGAAATGAGCATTGGAGAAACAACAGAAGGCCAAACGGCTGACAAAAGCCAACAATGAACGCTTTCCGCTGAAAGCTTCCTCTCCGATTCCTGAACCTATTTGTTAACAATTTCGTAGATATAGTATATATATACCTTTCATGCTTTTTGTCGCGGAAATTGTTGCAATATGATGTAAGTAATTGCACACTTTTGAAATTCTATCTCCCAACCGTTTTTGCTTGCGATGAATATGCCGAATTAAGTTAATGAACCTAGTTTTTAACTCTGTGGCCCGATTAATTCCCCTAATAAGTCAACCGTAGAATGCGAATATTAAACAACGTTTTCGTTTGCAGTTTTTTTTGTTCCCCTCTTAAAAAAAAATATATAAAAATATATCACCAGGCCGTATTAAAACCAATTTACAAGACAAATATTCAGCTAGCAGGGCTTTCGGTTATAGCAGTGTGGTTTTCCGTAGGGATAATTAGTGCTGATCATATCGCATGGTTGTCCTGGAGTTCCAGTACTAGAGCTGGGAGAAGCTGCTCCTCGATTACCCGGGGTGCTCGGTGTGCTTGGTGTTCTTGGTGTGCTTGGTGTTCTGGGTGTTCTTGGTGTTCTGTGCCCAATTCGACTGCGAGATGTGGATCTTGCTGGCTGCGGAGTCTCGGGCTGAGTTTGATTACCCACCGAGTTCTGGCTGTAAATCAGTTGATCGAATGGCCTATAGTTATCCATGGACTGAAAGCCGTGCAGGGAGGCATCCTGATGGGTGCTAGCGCCCGTGGACTCAAACTGCGGCATGGAAAGGTCTTCTATCATGGGATGACCGGTGTTATTGGGGGTTTCTGGGGTCTTCTGGAAAACCCTGGTCACAGAAGTGGTCGAGCTCTGAACGGTCACTTCCTTCACCACTTCGGAGGGTCCCTTTGTGGTGTCCTTCAGTATAGCTGGAGCACTCTCATCGGCGAGCTGCTTGCTGCTGCTTTTCTGCTCCTGTCGAGGGGATTTGGTGGCTTGGTGCTTCTCCGTTCTAGTAGAACTTGGCAGTGCCGTGGAGCTAAAGAACTCCGGCTGAGTCTGATCCGCCAAGTTCTCGCTGGGCATGGTCAATTGGTGGCGACGTGGCTGATAGGATACATCCTCAAATGTGGGCATTGACACATCCTCCAATCGATCACCACTGGAATTTTCCCAGGCTCGACTTCTGCCAGTTTTCTGGGTACATATGGCAGGGCAATCAGCCGACTTTTCGGATTTATCCTGGCGCGAGTGATAGGATGGAGCACTCTCGTTGGCCAGCAATTCCGAGGGATATGAAATGTCGGGGGGACGTCGCGCTATTGATTTCGAATCGTTCATATCTAATGATTCATTCAGCGGCATAGACACGTCCTCCAAACACTCCTTCGTCATCTCGGGCATATGTCTTGAGGTCATTCGAGAGCTGGGCGCAAAGCTGGGAGCACTCACATCCTCGAGGCATTCGTTGGTCCAGGGTTCTCCTTGCGTTCCGCTCACCTTATCCTCAGCGCATTCACTGTGCTGAGTTCGATTTAGGATTCCTGAGGGCATGCTGATGTCCTCCAGGCAAAGGCTGTTGTCTATGCCACGTCGCGATGACCCGGAGATGTCGCCAAGCGTTGGCATTGTCATATCATCCAGGCACTCATTTGTCACCGACCTTTGATTTGGCCTAGGGCTTCTACCACGCGAGCCTGTGGTCTGGGGCGTCCCATGTCTCCGGCTGGTTCCCTCAGAAGTACTTCTTGCGAAGGACGGCTGACTCACGTCGTTCAAGCACTCACTTGGTAAAGTCATTTGCCTTTGGGGTGTGGCAAATACTTCTCCAAATGAGGGCATGGTCATGTCATCTAGACATTCGTTAGGCGTCATTTCGTTTCTGGTCCGCTGCCTTGGCGTGGTGCTTCTTCCTGGTATTGAGTTGGTGTTTCTAATAAATGATGGCATTGAAACGTCCTCGAGGCATTCGTTTGTAGCTCGACTCTGACCGAAGGTCCCAAACGATGGCATGGTAATGTTATCCAAGTTTTCGTTGGTCATCGGGCCCTGGAATATTTGGATTTGCCTGGGGCTTCGACTTGAAAACGATCTGAAGGCCTCAGGACATTCGCCAAATCCAGTTCCATGACTTGGATCACCAAACGATGGCATGGTCATGTCATCCAAGCATTCTGTGGTCGCGTTCTGATTCGATCTCTGTGATGGCGTGAGGTACCTGCTCCTAGACATTCCTGACTGCGTTCCATATGACGGCATTGAAATATCTTCAAGGCATTCACTAGTAGCGTGTCCACGCGCTGAACCTCCAAAGGAAGGCATCGTCATGTCATCCAGCCGCTCGCTAGTCATCGCTCTTTGTCTGGATCTTTGCATAGGGCTACGTCCTCTAGACGACCCTGTACTTTCACATGTTGGCATCGAAATATCCTCAAGACATTCATTGGTAAGCGGTTCTCCGTAGGATCTTCCAAATGATGGCATGGTCACATCATCCAAGCATTCATTGGTCAATGTCCTTTGCCTTGGGCTCTGCATTGGCCTAGGACTTTTTCCTCTAGACGACCGTGTAGTTTCTCCGTAAGTTTGCATTGTACTGGCTAAGGATGGCATAGTCATATCATCCAAACATTCTGGTCTGGAGCTCTGCATTGGTGTTGGACATCTATGCCTAAGCGATCCGGTGTGATCCCGATATGAAGGCATTGAAATGTCCTCGAGACATTCATTGGTAGCCGTGCCAAAGGTAGAAGTGCCAAAGGATGGCATGGTAACTTCATCCAAGCATTCGTTGGTCAGTGCTCCTGGTCTTGACCTTTGCACTGACGAAAAGGTTGCTCCCGTGTTATTGAAATACGAAGGCATGGAAATATTCCCAATACATTCATTAGTATTAAATTCCGGACTTGAGCCAGGGATATTCGTGAAATGTCGTCTGGGAGTCCTTCGACCTGAAGATTGTGAAACACACCCAAACGATGGCATTGTTTGATCATCCAAGCACTCGCTTGTCAACTGCCCCCTTCTCGGAGTTATTAATCTTTGCCGCGGACTACTTGCTCTGGATCTGCTGGAGACATCTCCAATCGAAGGCATGGTGACATCTTCCAGGCATTCATTAGTACTCATGGCAGATAAGTCGGTCATAGGTGGCATGGCTCTCTGACTTCGTGTGGTACTCTTCCTTCTGGAAGAATATGAAATCCCACCAAATGATGGCATTGTCACATCCGCCAGACATTCACTGGAGGACTTTCTTCGGCCACTCCTACCAAGCGATCTACTTCTTCCAAATGCGGGCTCACATTCAGTTCCTCGCATTATTCCAGAAATATTGCCAAAGTTGGGCATGCTCATGTCGTCAAGACACTCGCTGGGTAGGCCAGTAGTGTGCCTTCTAGATGGACCAGAAACACCTGCAAAGGACGGTGCACTCATGTCCTCCAGGCACTCACTGGGCATGGTCAACTGTCTGTGTGCGGAAGCCACAGAAACGGCGCCAAACGAAGGCATTGTTATGTCCTCCAAGCACTCATTTGTCGACTGGCATCTGGTGGAACTGGCACATGGGTTTGGGGTTGACAGTGTGCCTCGTCTTCTGCTGGAACCGCGGGAGACGCTTCGTCCGAAGGATGGGGCACTGACATCGTCCAAGCACTCACTTGTCAGGGTCATTTGTCTTCTGGACGCAGCAGATGCTCCACACAATGAAGGCATGGTCATATCATCCAAGCACTCGTTGGTCATCGAACGATGTCTTGTACTTGGGGCATCACACGGGCTTGGCGACCTTGCGCATCTTGGCTGGCGCTTGGGACTTCTGCTCCTGGATTTGGTGGACACCTCTCCAAAAGAGGGCATCGATATGTCCTCTAAGCACTCATTGGTCGCATTACCACGGCCGGAACTCGCGAATGATGGTGCAGATATATCTGCAATATTTTGCGATGGCATTGTTAGCTGCTGTCGCCTTGATCGATTTATTTTCGATGCTTCCGATGCTCCGCCGTAAGATGGCATTGACACGTCTTCCAGGCATCCCATTGAGTCTCCATATTTGGTGGAGTGTGCAAACGAGGGGGCCGATATGTCGTCGATATTGGTTCTTTGCCGGCGGCTCGATGCTCGAGAACTGCTCCTCGCAAAGGACGGTACACTCACATCATTCAGGCACTCGCTGGGAAGCGTCAATTGCCTCCTGGAGGATCCTGCAACGCCACCAAACGATGGCATGGTCATATCGTCCAAGCACTCGCTGGTCATCCTCGACGGCATGGATCGCTGATGTCGTTCGGGACTTTTGCCCCTTGAAATGCCTCCGAAAGATGGCATTGTCATGTCCTCCAGGCATTCGCTGGGCATCGCTTGCCCCCGCGACATTCTCCCCCTGGAAACCTCCGATATTGCTCCAAAAGAAGGCATTGTCATGTCCTCCAGACACTCGCTGGGCATCGCTTGCCCCCGCGACATTCTCCCCCTGGAAACCTCCGATATTGCTCCAAAAGAAGGCATTGTCATGTCCTCCAGGCATTCGCTGGGCATCGCTTGCCCCCGCGACATTCTCCCCCTGGAAACCTCCGATGTTGCTCCAAAAGATGGCATAGTGATATCATCTAGACATTCGTTAGTCATGGGTCCCCTTGAGATACTGACATATGTGGGCTCAGATATGTCGTTGATGTTTGACTTCGACATCGATCTATGCGTTTGACGACGGCTTCGGCGCGGCGAGGCGCCTAATGATCTTCCAAACGATGGCATGGTCACGTCATCCAGGCACTCGTTTGTGGTTTGCCCTCGATGGGAATTGACCAGAGTTGGGGCTGATGTATCACTTATGTTACGCGCACTCCTAGATCTCCGCCGCCGCCGGGGACTTCTGCTCCTGGATACATTGGACACCCCTGCAAATGAGGGCATTGATATATCCTCCAGGCACTCGTTGGTAGTGTCGCCAAACGAGGGCGCTGATATGTCCCAAAGGTTCTGCGAAGGCAGCGTCAGTTGCCTTCTGGAACTCTGTCTGCGAGATCTACTCCTGTCGAAAGTGGGCTGGCTCACATCCTCGAGACATTCGCTCGGCATTGTGGGCTGTCTTCGCGAGAGCACAGAACTATTGGCGAACGATGGCATGGTCTCGTTCTCCAGCACGTCCTGGGAGGACATGACCTCCAAGCACTCGTTTGGCAGCGACGGCTCGTGATACGAGGGCATTGACTCATCCATTAGGTTCTCAGATCGGTCTGGCAGCGAGAAATTAAGATGACGTCCAGGCTCTCCGCCCTCACCAGCCGGCGTGCAATCCATGGAGGGTGTATTTGAAATGGTCGTCTCATCCACGTGGCTGGTTATATGGCCACTCGGGTCCCGGTGGGTGTATATTCTGCGATGCGTTTTCTGTGCATTCCATCAATACATATTAATACCCATAAATGAGTGAAATTGGTGTTAGGTAAATGCTTACATGCTGTTGCATCGCGCAGTCATCCGATCGGCGGCGTTGGTTCGAACGATTGATGCGTTCTCGAATGCTCCTAAAGCGGTCCAGAATCTCACCATACACATCATCCGCATGGCTTTGCGAGACATCGCACATATCCGGAGCCGACACATCGGCCAGGAGCTCTCCTCGCAAATCGGACATCTGCGAGGGCAGGCTGAGATCAAAACCAGGTGCCGACATATCCGCCAGGCACTCCTCGGGCAGATTGCTCAGATTAATCCCCGTTTCATACGCTTGGCGACGTGGTTGTGCTTGGCGAAAGGTTTCCATGGCCGCAGCATCCGTCTCATCTGAGAAAAATAGCAATGAATTAAAAAGGATTAATAAACTAAACTAAAGGGGAAATGAACTAATCAAATACCCACAGGTCATGTCCCTAAACATCCGTGGATGGCGCCACTCCTCGTTGCCAGTCAACCCGAAGTCGCTTGGGTTGTAGCGGCGCGCCCGTCCACGAAATCCAGGACGAAGATGCTCCGGAGTGCTAACCAAATCGGCGTCCCGCGGCGGGCAACTTCTCGGTCTTCTGACCAAGGAAAAAAGCGAAAGTGCTGTGTAAAAGGCAAAAATCGCTGCATGGCAGAGGTACACTCACCTATTGTTGCAGTCCACGGATCCATTTGGACCAGCTTGACCCCTGTCCCTACTGTGAATATCCTTGGGTAGAATGGTGTATTCCCATTGAAAGTGCGTTACCAACTCACCTCATGCTACCCGCTAGTTGTGATATTGGCTCGGCATTCAGCCTGGATGAAAATATCTGGTTCCGAATCTGCGAGGGAAAGTGTTCGAGAGGTGTGTCGTCTGCTTCAGGCTGTGGAAAGTTGTGGGAAAATCAATAGGCCAGTAGGTCAGTGGCTGCTCCGATTCGTTGGCATCGTTCCCAGCCCATTTCCATTTCCGTTTCCATTCCCACTTTCAATTTTTTCCCATTTTTATTTCCTTTTTTATGTTGCGCAGACAGACTGGCAAAGTGTGTCAAGCATCCGTGACTCTATTTCTTATCCAATTAAACAATTATGGAGAGCTCATTAAGGCAGGTTGTTCGAGAGGCGCCGAGAGCGTCTTGATTTCATTTTTTTCGTTTCTTTATAGGTTTTTTTATTGCAATTCTTACTTGACAGCCACTTCCGTTCGGTCTCTTGGCGCTTTTTCGATTTGAATAAGCCAAAGGAAGGCGAAGCAAAGCAGATACAATTAGCAATTAGCGGGCACATAGTTTTTCATTCGGTTATCCTTCGACTTCATTGGCTTTTCATGGAGGACTGAATCCATGATGGACAGGACAAAAGATGATGATGATGATGATGATGATCATGACGGCGACGAGGTGTTCGCGCGGACTAAGCGCGTCAAGTCGTCACACGAAACCGCTTTCATTTCCGCCAAACACAATTGCATCATTAGCGATGCAATCTCCGTTACTTAACGTAACCGCAACATGCCGGAAATGAAATCCGAGGCAAGCTGCTGCTCCGTTGGCTAAACTTTTGCCACGGTGAACGACTCGACGAGTGCGGCTGGCCGGGAAAGTCGGGAATGCTGGGAAAGCTGGGAAAGCTGGGAAATCTGCGAAATCTGCGAGAGCCGCACCAAAAAAAAAAAAAAAAATCATAGAAGGACGCTCGTCCGCCAAGCACAAGGAAATATGACGTCGCCATGTGGCGGGTGTAGTCGTCAAAGCGGATTGGGATAAGTACGACAGACGAAGGACGCAAGGAGCCAGAACTTAGGCAACCGGAAAGCGAACGGAATGATGCTGCTGCGCAGGAATAATCGAATGAAGTCTGGGCCGGGTTGTGGTCCTGCTTCTGGTCCTGGTCCTGGTCTTGGCTCCGTTTCTGTACCTGTTCCCGGGCCTGGTTCTGGTTCTGCCTCTGCGGCACCAGCTGAGTGGGCGTCCGTGGCCAGCGTGCGTCGAGGAGCGATTACGGGCGATTGCGAGCCGCTTCATTTAGCTGGGGGGCTGTAATGGCGCGGAGTGGAGCTGGAGAGGTCCTGCGGCGTCAGCCACGTGCAAATATTTGACTCAAGCTTGGCAAAAGCCACACATGCGAGGGCCGTTCAAGCGGTTGTGCGCGGTGGGAAACGCGTGAAGCGGATTTGTGAATGCCAATCACTAGAAATCACTGCCAAAAGTGTGGCGTACGCCCTAGTAATATGCAAAAAAAAAAAAAAAATAATGCAGGTATCGAATTTCAAACGAGTAAACATTTTCTTAATAAAACAGTGCTAAAGCTGGGCGAGTTCAGTGGGTTGCCACTCGCTATTCGACTGCAATTTGTGAGGGTGCCGTGCAGCAAGCAATCAACTGCCGCTCCAGCAGCCGCGTATTTGCATATGCCGTGTCCTGCCCCCACATCCTGCACTTGTCCATCCATCCATCCATCCATCCGTCCATCCATCCATCCATCCGTCCATCCATCCACCTGACAAAACGCAAGACGCAGCTACCGGGTTGTCACTTTTCGCACCGCTTTGAGCCGCATTAATGCGCATATTAAAATGGTCGCAGACGTTGGCGAAGGCATGCAGAACTAATGCCAGTCGTTGACTTGGCCAAAAGCCCAGAAACTTGTTATTCATATGAGGCGGAAGTGCAAATGGCGCTCAAATAAATTTTTAATCCATGAAGTCCATATAAACAAAATTTCAATTAGCAAAGCAAATATTTGTTTAACGCTCACAGCTGAAATCAAATTTGGGAAGCACATTTTCAGAAAGTTCAGGACAAATTATTTATTAAAATAATTATACACGTATTTATAAAACATTACTGTTGGACATTATTACAAATATAGCAGCGTTGTTTTGTACAACTATTTTAAATTGTTACAAAGTTGAGCACAGCTAAAAACGGAAATCCACTGAGTTATTCATTAAACAAATGCTTGTGTCCAAACAGCAATTGAGGAATGAGCAGATCTAACATTCTGTGCCTCAATTTTCCACTCCTTGTGCTGGTGAGCAGGAGCAGGACCTGGACAAAAGGATGGCTGGCGACTGCCTCAAGGCCACAGACGCCTTTTCTTCCACCCAAAGTTCGGCGAACGTTTAGCTTGCTTGCTTTCCAATTTGTTGGCCAAAAAGATGAAGGCGAATGGGCGGTCCAGGCGCCCAGACTCCATTCACATCATAATGCAATGGAATGGCACAAAGGACTTTGGACTGTGGACTTTGGACTTTGGACTTGGGTGGGGCCAACATGGCAACACACACGCGGCCACATGGAGAGCGATTAGCGCGAGTTTATCAAGGACTCCTTTCTGGTTGCTGCCACTTTGAAACCACAAAGCCACAAACACCGCAGCTCCATCAAAGATACATTATGTGTGTGCATTGATAATATGTACATTCATAAACATCGGGCAATGGCTATTTAACCATTATCAAAGCAAAAGGCCACTTGTTCAGCTCGTCGGCACTCAGGAAATGCAATCGAATCAATAGCTAGCCAAGTTTGGTTTGAACAAACAGCAAACAGTTGGTGTTTAAAATCGGCAGGAGTCGGGGTGGCGCAAAATGGGAAATGTGAAAATTCCCCTTAATCAAAGCAAAGTGGGAAATGCAAAAGTCCCGAAGCAGACTTCGCAAAACATGGAAATCGTCGCAGAAAAATCCCTCTATTAATCTTGGGACAAGTGGCGCCAGCTAGCGGCAAAAATGGGCAAAAGCTTTTCATTCGAACTTCAAGAAACACAGAACTTAGAACTTTATAAGTAACACTTTTAATATTAACAGTCGTTTGGCGAGTGCTAACAACATTTTAAGACGCTTTACAACTATAAAATGCATTATTTAAATAAATAAATATTTTAATAAATAAATAAGCACATCAGTGCGACATAAAAAATGTTCTAATGAAAGAATTGGGCATTTAGCTATAACAGAATGCAGCTATATGAAAAGTTGACATACTGCACGATCATCTAGTTCTCACAGTTTGGTACTTTATTAATATTTTAAATATCCATTACAGGTATTTCACAGGGCAACACGGACTAAAGTGGCCCAAATTTGGAGTACCCTCCCCAATTAAAAAGTGAACTAGGAACCACTTACGTGGAAATGCCATCCCTCGTCGACTTGGTTGGCTTGGCAACTGGCCTAGGAATACTGGCCAAAACATTGGACTTTCTGGCGTTGCCCGTGACGACTACCTGTCGCAGTCAGCTGCCCGCCGGTGGCTGGTAAATAAACAAGCATTTCCACCAAAACCAAATGGAGTTGCAGTGAAAACCAATCGAATTCTGATAGAAATATTCCCAAAAAATGGCCACGTGCTGCTAGATGGGTCTACTGTGCGCCAAGCTGCGCGACTGCTGTTGTTACCAAGCCATCAGCTGTTGTCGGAACTCCACGCCAACGTTGGAGGAATTCCAGGTGCTCATCCTGGGACCATCGGGCAGTGGCAAAACGGAGCTGGGACACCGCCTGAGCAGAGTGCCACGTGCCCCCGACGACCAGGTGGCCACGAATGGAGTGCGCTGCTATCAGATGCTATCATCAGCGGCGGAGCCACCTGCGCAGCTCCGGCTCACCGAAGTCGGTGGCAATGTGGAGATGCAGCGCCTGTGGAAGCACTACTATGCCTCCGCCCATGCCCTGATATATTGCTTCGATCTGGGTGCGGATCCGGCGGAAATCGAGGGCACATTCTCACTGCTAACCGATTGCCTGATGGACAACGCCTTATTGGCTGGGAAGCCAGTGCTCCTGGTGGCATCACGTCATCGGGCTGGTGTCCAGCTGTACGACGTGGAATACGCTTTCGGCCTGGAAGAGCTGGCCAAATCCTGCGGCTGTCCACTGCTCATCTGCCACATGGACGAGGCGGAGGACCTGCAGCGGGGAATGCGATGGCTTTGCCATCAGTTGTTGGCCAGAAAATCGCAATTGGATCAGCGGATTCGGTACGATGTAAATATGCAGGTGAGGCAACAGCCAGGAAACTAAGAAATATATTATACCTCATATTTGTTTATTTAAACTATTCTTTTTGCAGGTTTGGCAGCGCCGAAAGCGATCGCTTTTATCCAGCGGAAAACTAGCTCAAGTTCATAGACATCGTTTTCGGCGACAGGCGCGCAAGGTGAGTCAAGTTTAATTGTAACTACATTATTTATGAACTTTATGAAATACCCACAGATATTGCCTGTCATCCGAGGATTTGGTGGGAAGAAAGTGCGTCCCAGTACAGCACCTCCCAACATTTTCTATGTAAACTCGCAACCAGAAGAAACTAATAAGCTTTAGGAAAAGTGATTGAGTGCGCATTTAAAGTGCCAAAAAAGAAAATTAAATTAAGCCATTAAGGTGTTTTTTTACCAAAGGCTGTTTTTGCCACTAGTTCAGCTTAATGAGTGTGACAAAAGGCAGTAATTAAATGTGAGCATCTTTTATTCAAACAACTAACTGCCATTTTACTGTGCTCAATGCAAAAATGTAAGGAAATCTCCAACCTAATTGTACACTTTTGCATGTCATCATTTATCAAAGTTAAGCTGTGAAATACAAAACTTGCCAATGCGTTGACAGATATCAACCAAAGATCACAATGTCAATGAACAAGAAGTTAGTGCAAGTTGAACAGAACAGCTACAAAATGTGTTGTGAATTTGGTATTTCCACTGTTTTGCCTGTCAATTTGAATCGAACAAAAGTTAATCAATTGGCCTGGTAAGCGGAGAATTATGCATTTCGCACAGTCTATGACGAGCCCTCCGGTCGACTCTGTTCGTTGTCAGCTCTAATTAACAATTACAAGTTGGCCCAAATGGCCAGGATTTCGAATTTGATATTGTGTGGCGTTTTAAGTTACATTTCTTAAAGGCATGTTTCTACAGCAGCGGTCAATAAAACAGCACTAAGTACTTGCCCAACTATGCCAGCTTAAGTCAGACTTCAAAACCAGGCTTTTCACTTTTGGAAATATGCCCATCAAAAATATCAAGATATGTGTGCTATTATCCAGACCGCAACTGTGCGAAAGTAAGTATGCAAAAAGGCATCGCAGATTCTGGCCAGACATCCTGATGGGCTATGAACGTGGGTATCGCTGAGGAGTGGATGGTGGATGGTGGTTGGTGGGTTGAGTGTCAGCCAGTCGATGATGTATTGCCGAACAGCAATAAGCAAACCACAAGGAGGAGCACACACACACGGGAGGCGGGTGAAATCAAACAATTACTAATACACCGACATCGAATCGCACCCACTTCCAAGTTTCCGAAGGGCAGGGACGACGAGGTGGGTGCAGGATGCAGGATTCGGGATACAGTACTCCGGAACCGGGTTGGTGGAACGGAGAGCTGGTGACATTGATGATTGCGGCTCGGCGGCGTCTGGAGACGCCGGAACGTGTACTCGTAATAATCCCATGGCGCACAGTCTGCGTTAAAAGAATAGGATTGAATATTTTTAATATACAAATTATAACTATAAAAGAGTAATAATTGTAATGATTATTATTGAACCACATCTGTAAGTCGTTCATGTCCCTAACATTAGTTTAACATAATTATTTGCATTTAACATAGTTATTACAACTGTTACATTTGTGCTTAAATATGCAAAAAAAAAAAACAGAAAAGAAAAAACTTCATTTGAATGACCTTTTCCCACTTTTGTGACCGCTGCTGTTGCACCAGCCGCCGCTGCAGTTAGTCCAAACTCCCAGGATCGCGGCCACACACACCAATGCACACGCACATAGACAAGGACACCAATGCCACCAATGCCACCAATACCACCTTGCCGCACCCAAGCACCCAAACAAACATGTGTCGCCGTGTGTTGTAGCGAAAAGTGTAAAATAAGCATCAATCATCGCCTATTCGAGTTGTCATCAATCACACACACGCCGCACACACACACACACACACACACACTCACACGCAGAGGATACGCTGCGGTGACACCAACAACAACAACAACAGGAACAAGGGAAAAAGGAGAGCCCACCGCTGTCTCACCGTTATCCCGTATGGTTAGTTTTTGCGGCAGGGGCATCTGTATCTGCAAATTTGCAACCCCTGGCCAACAAGGCTGGTGATATCCCATAGCTAGATATCCGCATGTAGCGCAACTTGAAACAGGATCTTTAAGCTACAGTTGCTGCATAGCACTCAACTATTGGTAGTCATTTGGACATGTTTATTATAAATACCAAAAACAAGAACTTTTGGGCTTGAAATCTTCGGTAAAAACACCTTCAAGTTTCATTGTTTTAACAGGTGTAGAAAATAGGATTGTTAACAATTTACTCTCGGCTAGAAATACCTTTAGTATGAACGTTTCAATGAGCTGAAGAAACTCTCTAAAAAGATGAAAAGATACGCAGTACGACCAATCTTCTATTAAGTTCCAGCTAAAATAATCCTTGTATCCTTTCACTTTCGCAGCACTGTTCACCACCAACAGACGTGGCTCGCATTATCCTTCCGGTCATTGTCCTCCGAGGGGCATTTCAAATCCGTAATTTCGCCTGGGCGAGTTATTAAATCATCAGGTTGCACGATCGCGCCTGTCACACGTCCATCAGCAGTCAAGAAAAGTGCGTAACGAAATATCCAAATATCCGAATATCCGAATAACCGTATAACCGAATATTCGAGCGCATATTCGAGCACAACCCTCATCAAGGGTGATGTGTACATTTTTCAGGGTGACTACCGCGTGCGCCAAGGCGGAAAATAAAGATTTAATCGCCATTTATGGACATTTTGCAGACTTTTTACGATTACGCGCTCGTATGACGGCCAACCAACGAGTTGTCAAACAACAAAAATCGGGAAAAAAGGGGAAGAAGGGCGCATTAACCCTCAGGGGAGTGAACGGCGATAAACCATCGCCCAAAGCGCAAATTAATCTCCAGGACTTGCCCCAAACTTGTTCATCAACTCGATATCTGTCAGCACTCCACGAATGGCTGCCCATTCGCTTGGGGAGGCCGCGCACTGAGAAGTAAATCACTTTCACATTAAGTCTGCAACCAAAATACGAACAATCATGTGTCACTCATATGATATAAAAACAATAATAGTATTGCTAACGAATAGTTCCTAAGGGTAGCCCTTTTGAAGCAACTAGCATATAAATATGTACCTCAAACTTTACACATTAGACACTCCAAGTAAACCCAATAAAGTGGGCTTTTCTATTAACAACGCTCCACACTTTTGGCTCAGTGCAGCGAGGGACTCTCGGCCAGCGGAAAACAATTGTACCGGTCAAATGACAGGGTTTCAATTTCATTTCGGCGCTACAATGGTGTTATGCTAAACGGATCCGGGTCTAATGTTTTTACGTAACCAATCCGCCTGTGGGGCGGCAAAACTCCAACTCTCCAACACTCCAACTCTCCAACACTCCAACACTCACATATAATCGAATAAAGTCACGCCGCTTTAACATTTGCGGTCAGCACGTGAGGCTGTGGACAATTCGTTTCCTTCGCCTCCTTTGGGTTCCTTTGCATCTTTTTTGGTCCTTTGGCGTTGGTGGGGATCCTTTGGGTTGGGGTTGGGGCTGGTGGATCAGGATGGAGTGGACAGGTAGACCGGGTGACACGATATACGGTGCGATACGCTGCGCCCATTGTGTGTGCGCCAAACAAAGTTGCCGCAAAAAGGCTGCAGGACATGTGCACGAAATTAATTTCCAGGGCAGCCGGATGAAGGACGCGTAGGATGGAGGTGGAGGTGGAGGAGCGCTCTTTTTAATCCAACATGATATCACCCACAAAATGCAAAGCGGCCGAGGTCGCTCCACTGTACAGTGCGACCTCCATGGATCAAGCTGCAAGGTGGTGTCTAAAATCGTATTCAGAATTCCTTGTTTAAGTTGTAAACCGATTTAGATAGAGTTATAAAAAGTTTGGCAAGATCGAAACAGGTTTAAGCTAATTACCAACGCTTTATCTAGTAAGATTTCATAACAGTGGAGGTACTAAATGCCAGTTTAGCCAGTGCTGACTGTATTTCCCGGCAGATCCTTGGCACGAACGTAGCTGCAAAAATCCGAAAGCGGATTAAACGTATTCGTGAGAATTCGTCAGCGATTTCACACCTGTTCGACGGGCAGCAGCGGCAACTGGCCACGAATACGGACAGGACCTCAATCACGGCCCCTCTCGTCCGGAATGGCATAAAATGCCAATTAGAATTTCAAGTTCGCAGTCCGTTGGTGCGCCTTAAGCGCTCCGTGTTTGGGTTTTCCAACCCCACTACTATATACATATATCTCGACTTCTACCAACGCAAATTGTTTATCGCCCCCAGGGGTTCTTTATTAACTTTACGGCGTATCGGCCGACTGAGAACTGACCTCTCCCTCCTCCTTGCCGGCGGCTCAATCTCCAGCCCTCGACTTTCGATTTCCATCCGCTTCCATCGATTCGATTCGATTCGATTCGAATGGATTTCGTTGCATTCGATTCGATTCGATTCGATGGGGAAATGCCCGACTCCACTTCCAGATCCTTTGGCCAGCTTATGGCCCCCTCCCCGTCCGCTGTTTTAAAACAGTTTTCCCCTTTCGGGTTTTTTGGTCAACGCGTAACGCGGAAATGCACTCAAAATATTAAATGCTTCAGCAGTTTGCAATTATTGTGTGAGGCGCACTGCCTTGTGCTTAATTCATAATGCGCATCGAGCTCAAGCTGGTAAAAGGGAAGTGGGGAGTTGGAATTGGAGTTGCAGCCTTTTGGCCAGGCCTTCTGGTTCTCAGGGAGTTGGAGCCCAGCGAGGAGGAGCGATTCCATACGCGGGGGACTGGGGAAACCATAAAACACAAAAGGCTAATGGCGAAAAGGCAGGCGACTCACATAGAAGGCATAGTAATTAAGGGATTAATATTTATGAATTGACATAAGCAGAAAAATCAGCCTTTTGGCCCAAACTAAAGCTTGATTGAATAATCCAGTAATAGGTGTTGCATTTAAATTTGGTTTGCCAGTCACAAGTATAATTATTACGCAACTGGTTAGTTAATTGCAAAGTACAAGAATTTCAAGTGTAGCACAATTTTAGATTGCTTGGCAAAAATCAATTGAAAATCCAATTGAAAGGCACATAATTTCGTGTTCCATATGCCGAAAGGGAATCTCTACACGAAATTAGCGCATTAAATTGGCCAAATGGAAAGTGGGCGGGGCAGGGCGGTCGTCATATTTGCAAGTGTGTGTGTGTGTGTATTGTGTGTAACATGGCAAGCCATAAATATAAATTCCCAGGCGCTTTACGAGGCGGCAGCAAAAAGAAGGAAAAGGATTACATGCCACAAGGAGCGGCAGCGGGAGCTGGAGCTTCGATAAAGCAAAGTCTATGAGATTTACGAGCAGATTTCAAGAGTTACAAATACATACATGACTTTGGCCTAGGATGGAGCTAAACCGAAGGTGGCAAGCGGAGGGCGAGCAGGGAAAAGGGGAGGGGGAAGGCTGGATGAAAAGCCGATACAAGGATACGCACAGCCGCAGGACACGGACTTTATGTTCCTGGACGACGGCGTCAAGTTGCCAAGAGCAAAACTTTCAATTGCATTTTGGCCAAGTTTCGTTCGGCTTATCTTTATTATCGCCGCTGTTATTATCCTGGCCCCCCAAAGTCGAGGTCCTTGGCCAAATTCCCATTCAGAGTCCTGCCTCCAGGATGCTGAGCGCTGGCAGGCCTCATAAAGTATGTCATGTGTCATAAATGACAGATTCTTAGGCATACTTCATTGATCCCTTTGGCCGTCTCGTTTTTACGGCGCTGCTTGCTAAATTGTTGCAGTATCTGTTGCCAACACACACACACACGCACTAATACTCGAACACATCCTGGCACACACACACACAACGCGAGCTGTGCGTGTTTGAAGTTTGCTTTTGATAAATGAATGGATTTTCAAAGGCGACGTTAATGAAATACGCACACAGGCGCAATCACGAGCAAGGATGCCGAGCGCCGAAGGATTCCTGCGCTCCAGGAAACAAGGCTGTGTGTATGTGTGCGTAGTGCCCCCCGCATATCCTTCAATCTATCAAACTCACGTGTCCGTCGTGTCTCAATTTACTTGCTTACTAGCTGCTCAACTTGCGGCCCTTTTGCTTCCTTTGCTTACTTTGCAAACACTGAAACCGAGACCGAAGCGGTTGCCTCGGCAATTTGATAGAGTCCGCTTTTTTGGCATATTTATGAAGTCCTGGCGGCGAAAGGATTTTCGACTTTGGCTCCCCCAGAAAAAGAAAGCGCAGCGAAGGGGACTAGCATCAGCTGGCCATGTTTTGGAGTTCTACATGAGAAAGTTCTCTAAGCATGTCGGATAATCTCTGATCAGCTCAATAAATTTTCAGTATTACTAATGTCTCAATTTCCGCTTGCTAAATGTAGCTATGAATATTTATAAAATTACGATGATTCGTGTAATAATGGATTGGTTATTTATTGTTCTGATTTGATTCTGCCCATTTGATGACCCCTAGAATGAACTGTGCTTGTTTTTAGTTGTCCTCAGTAGTGCAGGAAAATTCCCCGACATTTGCCTAATGTCTTCCCCCAGCTGCGCGGCTTAAAAGTGTGCCAAAGAAAAGGCCAGTGAAAAGCGTTGCCAAGGCAAGGAGCCGAAAAGCAAAAGCAAACGCATTAAAAGCAACTTAATAATTCAGATCGAAATCACCAATCAGCGCAGCCGACATGTTGACAAACGATCCCGCCGACATTACCATCTAACCATACCAACTTCACTGGAAAAGCGGCAAGTCGAGAGGAGTCGGGAAAAGCCGGCAACAGGGAAAAGCCAAGAGCGGCAGGAGGCAGGTGGCAAGGTGGCAAGGTGGCATGGGGCACCATCGACAGCGGCGACGACAAGAGATTTACATTTTCAAAATCGAATGGCGGCATAAGCCACCGCAGAGCAAAAGACACGCAACCACGGGCATAATGAAATCCGCGATAAACAAGATAAACGAACGCACAAAAAGTAGATTCGCAGACAAACAATGGCATACGTGGCTATTATAACGAATCGGTACAGACCCTATATATAACATTAGTAAATGCCATATGGAATGGCACAATATATGTGTTTCCAAGTCTATAGATTTCAGTGCAGTGAGCACATTTTGAATAATAACGCAGTAATACGACCGAAATCTTATTAAGTGTACTTAGTGCTAAGACCAAACGGAATATTATGCTGTAAAGGGAATACAATGGGCTCAATTTCTTTTCCGCGGAAGGGTATTTGCGGATGGAAAGTGGCAGCACAGGAGCAACAGCCAGCTGCCTTGGCGACGATGGCTAAAATATTTATATCTATTTCAGCTTGGCCGCTTTATACAATTTCTATCTTGCCACGCCACACGGTGTGTCGCCTGATCCAGCAACCACCATTGAACAGACATCGAATGCCTTGCAACACCCACTTTTCACTACCACGACGTCTTCATTTGCAATCAATAAAAGATTTATGACAATACATCGAGGGAATGGTGGAGTGGTGAGGTGATGGAGCTCAAATGGATGGGATACGAAGGCAGTGCCACATATTGTACCCAGGAATTTGTTTTTATGTCACATCATTATTTTTATTATGACGCTGCCACTGGCCTGTTATTCGAGAGTGATTAGTGGCTAAAAACGATGGCGATAGCATCGATGGTTGTGGCCAGTAGGGTGGACCAAAACGCAGTTTTTGTTCTAAATCACTTCAAACATTAGATGCTATGAACTAATTGCCCTGCATTATCTAACATTTTAATAACAGTTGGGTTTTCTAAAATACCACATTTTGGAAAAGAGGAAGTGCGGAGTGGTTCACCCTAGGCCACCATAAGCAAATATGCCCATAATGAGCGATGGGAGCTTGGCGATAAGGAAACTCGGAGGAATATCGGGTAACCTAGCTGGTCGGTAACTGAAATGGATTCGAGTCGTGGTCCTGTGGTCCTTTGGTCCTTTGGACTTGGATTTGAATCGGCTCTGCAGGCGGATCGCAATCGATCAATTCAATTAGCAATCGGTGCAAGGATGTCAGGACTTTGGAATGCCACACATATCGAGGATATGTACATACATGCACAATCGGCGATAACTCCATTTGGCCATGGGTTTTTCTTTTGTTTGCCTTTGGAAGCTACAGTCGATGTAAGTGGAAACTCTCGGTGCGTGTAAAATGCCTTTTCGGTATGTTGGTGCGTATTACAACAGGAAAAACAACAGCAGGAGGAAAGAGTTGGACAACAATGAAATGCTTTTAGCCTGCGAAACTGCCAACTGAACAGCGCCAAACGAAATTAAGTTAACAACAAAGTGAGGCAGCGAGTAAAAGTTTCCAGCACTGTTTTTATTGAAAATTGAGTTAAAAAACTGAAAGTGTCGACGATGTCGTCCCACGTCCGTACATATGTACATATGTACATATGTGCATGTGCTTCGCATGTTCGTCGCATGTCCTGAAATTCCATGACCAGAATTTCCCGCCCGCCTCTCCCGCGAAAGTAGGCAACACGATTAGCCAACTCATCGCCAAAGTCATTGGAGACGGCTTTTAGCGATCCGCAACTTGCGACCAGCAACGTTTCACACTCCAGTTACATCGCATTCGAATTACAAGCTCGAAGAATAATGACAATCCATATTTGGACCATTATTTACAAAATATCTGTAAATACCATTTATGAAAAAAAATGCAATATATGCGAAGGGTGTAACTTGGCTAAAAATGGTATAGATAAAAGAAAAACTGAAAAACTACTGATTACATCAGTAAAATTAGCAAAAAATGGCAAAAAATTAAAATTTCCAAATTTGAAAGCCACCTCAACGAGGTATGACAATCCATATTTGGACCGTAATTATTAGATAACGTACAAATGATATAATATTTTTGGACAAACATTTAGAAAAACTGCGAAAAACTAGAAATATATATTATCTATAATATAATAGAATAATAATATATTTTCTATATATATAGAAAATATAAATAATAAGGTTTGGATGAATATTCACCAATTTTCATCTATTTCCTGTCGTTGGCAATTAAATAGGAAGCAAAATACATTAATAAAATACCGCTGGTTTAATAATAATTAAGTGAATGTGTGGAATTGAATGGAAGCCAATGTGCTCATAGTTTTCAAGCTGTGGATTAAATGAGTCGGGGCATCCTGTCTGCGGCCCGAAGATCCTTCCCGTTTTGCGAAAAGTTTCGAGACAGTGGAATGCCAATAAAAGCCAGGACATGGGCATTCCGCAGAAAGGATGCTCAAATCAGCGCAGATCAATGTATGCGTGTGCGCATAAAATTTATGAATTATTGAATCTATGAAAATATGTACATCACGTACTGCCCCTCCTCTCGCTCTCTCCGCCGCCGAAACTATCTGAGCCAGACGGAGACGGAAGACAATCGCACGGGACGAACTTACAGTTATGCAGAAAAAAATGAAAAAAAAAAACACGAACGTGGGGGCGGCTGGGCGTGGCCACTGGTGTTTGTGTGCGTGTGCTGGAATATGCACAGAATTTCATTAAGACGCCTCCATTTCGACGTTTTCATACGCTGCCAAAAGGGAACTACGACTGTGCTATTAACAATGTACGACCAAAAATAAAATACCTTATTCCACTGCCCAGCTCCAAGCATCTCAACCAACAAAATTTGAAACAATTACCAGGTAAGCTAGAGTATTTGAAGCTTCGGCGTGCTGCAGCTTACCGCCAACATTTCTTTATAAATAAGTTTGGGCATTGGTCCGCGCTTGTTGTTTGCCAAAGTTTGTTCATCAGCTTCGACGTGTTTGCCGATGGCTTAGAGCCCAGGACCTCTTGAAGTGAGGGACCAACACACACAAGCCGCAGATCAAAACTTTTTTTAATGTGTTTTCGATGAATTGCGTTTATTTAAGACAGGGCAAGCGAAAGGTTAACATTCAACGGACTGCATGGTTGGCTCAACCATAGCATTTAACAACAGCATTCACAGTTGTATTCAAACGATGCAATCCTCTCGTCCACTGGGACCGGTACCATCGATTTGAATCCCCTTCTACCTGCGGAAGGAGTGCGATTAATGCACATGAGTAACACTTCAGTTAGGCAAACCAACCTATAAAAAGACCAGGCGATCATCTAACCTAGGGTATGCGGAACGATCATCATTAGTTTCATCATTTGTGTAAGTTTTGACCGGTAAGCAGCTAAAATGATTGTGTTGGCTGGATGGCAATAGGATTAGGTGATGGTATAGATGGTATAGAAAAGTACTTACCAGCTGCACTCAGTTCATTAAAATGGGTGTATGTATGGCTTTCATCTGTTTAACTTGCATGGCATTATGATTCTCTGTGTACGTGTGCGTCGGTGTGTTGCGAACACAAAAAGCTAACCAAAATATTTCTGAAAGAGAAAAAATGTTAAATTTTTAGTGTAGTTTCTCAGTTTATGAAGTGTACTTTTTTTGCTGGCAAAGTATTGAGCCGAAACTTTCAACCTACCCGTCGCATTACAAAGAATTTTGGGGCTTTTTGAAATTTGTAGTTTTCCGAGACGAGTTGTGCTCCAGACGAGCTCTGGTGGCAAACTGAACATTTTCCGGGCTGGACGGGGGCACATGGATTTGACAGCTCCGTTTGTTCGATGAAATTAGTTCCAGGGACAATGTGATCACTAATTCTGAGCCCCATCGTAGTAACTTTCTCATGAAGTTAGAATCTATACATGTCTTGGGAGATATATTATGTATCATATATGTACTATATTTTTTTATTAAAGAAATTTCATTATTCCGCAATTGCGTTCACAATATCAACGCTAGTTGTTTCCCGACTACAAAGTTGACTTCCTATTTAGATGCCCCTCACACTAGTCCTTAAATAAGTGGTGTACTATTGGCAAGTGGCATGTCCTTCACCCGATTGTCCACTAATGCGAACTGCAAACGGATAACTGCGAGTATGAATTATGCACATTTACTTGAGATGTGTTCCGTTCCACTTTGAGCAGCACAAGCCGGCTAACCAAGCATCTTGTCGTGCCCTTTGAACCCATCCCCCTATCCCTCTCTCTCTCTCTCTTTCGAGCCCCCTCCCATGTGGTGTACCCCACACTCTATATCCGTCTCTTTCGCCCGCTGTCGCCCCATCTCGCTCGCTGATGTTATTCCGCTGTGCGTGTTTGCATTTTGTGCGTGGCGCTGAGCGCTTCCTTGCACAGTGGAGGTCACAAAAGTAGTGCTGTTCTTATTTCTATTTCATCTATTGATAATAGTGCCTGTTATTTTTGTGCCTGTATCTTAAAGCTGTGAATAAAAGCTGATATATTCGCAGTCAAACAAATATCACACAAATTAGTTTGTAAATATCCATATTTAGGGCTCACAAATATTTCATATCACATTCGCATTAGGCTTGGACGCCACTGTGTATCTGTAATCCATTTAATTCAACCAAGCGACCATGCCAGCTGTGTGTGTGTGTGTGTGTGTGTGCCTTTGGCATTATCAACTCATAAATATTTATTGAATTTTAAGAAATTTTCAAAAATGGCTACAGCAGTAGCCGCACAAGGAGCAGCCAAGGAGCAGGAGCTCAATCTGCGGGACAGCCGATGACTTGTTGTCCTGCCAGCGTATCCGTCATCGATTTCGATTGCCTCGCTCCGCTTGGCCGGCTTCTTAGCCAACCATCCATCCAGGCCCCCCGGTGGTTTCAGCCCGGTTTCAACTGGGGTTTTCCTGCGAATCTTGCGAATCCTGCGAGTCCTGCGAATCCTGCTGACCCCAAATGGCTCGCTCGCCACATCCATATCCCTTTGCATTCTCTTATTTGGATTATAATTTTTTCCATTTCACATGTGAGTGCATTCCTCTTTCTTGGTGGTCATCACATTCTCGCCAGTTGCCAGTTGCCAGTTGCCAGTCGCCAGTCGCTTGGCCACTTGTCAATTTCCATTTTCATTTTCATTCCGTCGTTGAGAGAGTTGCGACTAGGGTCCTCGAAACGCGTAATCCCAGCTCAAGCGGGGAAGTGAACGAGTTAGACAAGGTCATCGATTCAAGGGTCTAATGGCATTTCATATTCAAGTTGATACAAATTGAAATGCAAAGCAAGTCGTTAATAAACGATTAGGCTAATTCTGCGTGCAAATAACTATGCTTGTATGTCCAATCCAGTTTCAATTTATGAAAAGAAAAAATCTGTTTATTATTTAGTTCAATACGTGTATTTATTTGCATGCCTACCTACATTGTAGCTCTCGAAATTCGCCAAAGCCGCTCCCAATTCATCGCTCGCAATGGGGGCAATTAATTGATTTTGTACAGGAAGCTTTATCGATTCGAAACTCAGTTTTGCAGTTCTCGTCCATTTTGGAGCGTAATTCGGTTTAATATTCTTTGACTTGATTTCCCAGGAACTCAATCATTTCCATTTGCCAGCATGGACGACGAGTTGCGAGTTGGCAGGTAAATGCAATTTGGAAGCGGTGCATCTGGGAGTCATCCGTAACCGGGCTCGCTCACCTGTGACCCCTTCCCCGATCGGGGCACTCTTAACCCCTTGACCCCCTGACCCCTTGATCCCTTGATCCCCACCCTCCTTGCACGCCCTCCTCGATTCGAGAGAGTGTCCTGGTCAAGCGGAGCTTTTCCAATTTTAATCGCATTAAATAGTCACTTAAGCGCCGACCCGCCACGCCCCCATTTTCCGGCCACCTGAATGCACTGAGATTCAAAAACACCCTATTTCTCACCCACCCACCACCCCCCCTTCCGCCCGCCGATGCGAAATTAACTTGTTGATGTGGGAACGACGACGAAACCGTAACAACTGACGGGAAAAGTGGGAATTGGGAAAAGGGTTCAATTCAACGTGGACCATCTCGGTGGGGGTTTCATTCACCATCGCTTTGCCACGTTCAATGCTAGTTTGAAAATCGCATCGTGTTCGAATCTTATTAGTGGTTTATAATTATAATTGTATACAGACCAATTACGCTGCGAGATGGGTAACTGAGTGGTGGGTGGGTGGTTGACGTGGGAGTGGCTCATCAGGTGTGTGTATCTGTGTGGCTAATTAACCACCACCAGGAACTGGCCGTTAAGCACCCGGGCGTACACTCAGAAAATAGGTGTGCAAGCTTTCTCTTTCAATAGAACACTTGTTTGTGAGCAGGCAGCGTTCATCTAAGCATTGCTATCTAATCAATAATGGTACATAGCGAATATACTTTTATATATTATTTGGTAAAATTTTTCGCAGTGCATGCATAAGTGTGTGTGCTTAAATGGGAAGCCCAAGTATGCCGATAATGATGTTCATTTCGTAAGCAAATGTCATAACACAAACTCAAAACCCAAACTCAAACCCAAGCCCAACCACCCACACATTTATGTAAATAGCAACGCAAATTTATGCGTATGTATTTGTGCAGCTCAGAAGACAAAGGACAACCCCCTTAACCCCTTAACCAGCTTAACCCACAAGCCTCCTCCAGTGTCCAAGTGCGCACATGCCTTGTAATTGAATCCACGTCTGAAATCTGTCTGTGGTCGATAATTTCATTTGGGGCTGCATTTTGAATACAAATTTATCGAGCAGCAGAGAACCGTGACACGTTGCAAGCAACCGCATCACGATATGCCGATATTCTCGGTGCCACTCCCCCATTCCCCGCCAGATTCGCCCGCCCAATTGCCGAATGTAGGAATACAAAGAAGTTGTTGGCTCCGCCTAGCGGTTTAATTGTTTAAATTGCAACGCCAATGTTGTTCAAGTGTATACATATAAGCACGTAGTGTAAGTCGATTTTTATATTTGTGTATATGTATATATATATTCATAATATATATATATTGCAGTAGATCCGACGCAAGCTACTCGTCCAGCAGAACCGGTACCATCGATCTCAAAGCAATACTATAGCAACCAACTAGAATATCCTGTCCATTTCTGAGCTGCGATGAAAAATGCGTTATTGAATGCAAAAAAATTAAGCGCATATTAATTGTATACTTTTTTTTTGTTAGCCGGTTAAAGTGCGAACCGTTGCCATTGCTTCCCCAACGTTAAAAAAAGCAATGGCGAGTGTGAATGTTAACAACAGCATGAACTATGAAAAAAAGGTGGTTTTTCTTGGCTTCTTATTTTTGGTTGTAAGATTTGTAACTTACAGCTTACACAAAAATTTTGAAAATTTCGTTTTTAAGTCATTTGCTCCGAGACGAGTTGTGCTCCAGACGAGCTCTGGTGGCAAACTGAATATTTTCCGGGCTGGACGGGGCACATGGATTTGACAGCTCCGTTTGTTCCATGAAATTAGTTCCAAGGACAATGTGATACGAGATTTTCGATCGCATCGCAGTTGGCGCTGCTTAGAAAACTGGAAATCCATTCGCTCAAGCCATCAGTTTGATATCCTAACGTATTGGCGATAACAACATACAAAAGATACAAGATACAACATTTCGAAACCTATTACAGAAAATCCCACTGAAGTAACATACAAAAGATACAAGATACAAAATTTCAAATAGTGACTGCATCTAAATGACTAGCATTTCGTTTGAGAATCCACCCACCCAGGTGTACCCACCAATGGAAACGACAAGAGTCCCGATCTTTGCTTGTCCGATAAGGTCAGTTCTGAACATATATATGCCTATCTCAATCTGTGATATAATAAATAAAGCAGCGAATAAAGCAGCAAAAATGTACAGTAGATCTTAAGATTAATCAGCTTTCAAGTTTCCCTGTACACGATTTTAGTTGAAGTCAAAAATATCAAAAGGTTTAATTGCTTTTCGTTCCTTTCTTGCTTCAGCCCTTCCAATTAGTATTATAATATCGCGCTCTATGAACCTTTGACTCCGAAAAAGTAGTACTTCAATGCTATAAAAATGTATATTTTCTGAGCGCCTGCGTCCTTCGGCGAAAGAGCAGAATTAAGAGAACACTCTCGAAGAAGAGTTCGCCAAATTGGAACTGCTTGTCGAGGTTACATTAAGTTAATCAAATGCCTCAGAGATTTGTGGCAGCCGACTCTTATATTAGAGGGTTGTTGTCTTGGCTAAAAGGATTCTATCAAGTAACAAACTTATTTCTATTAAAAATCATTTAAAAATAAATTTTAAAAAATGTATAATTTATTTAAAATATTACATGGCACATTTTGAAGAAAAACGAATACCTATGGTTTGGTAATTATTAGTAAGTGGCCGTAGGACTTTTCTCTTAAGTGCTATTTGTAACAGTTTGTGTTAGTTTAACTGTTACACTTAATCGAAGAGGGTCACTAAGAGAGTTACTTTCTCCCTTATTTACTGGCTCTCTTTCGCACTGAGCCGCACTGTTTTTCTTGCTCTCTTCGGAGAGCGCAACAGACTGTTATTTTAGCAGAGTCCTGTGCGAAGGATAACCAATTATGGCCAAGGAGGCGAACTTAAGGCCACTCAAAAACAATTTTTTCACATTTTTATTGAAACCGAAAGGAAGGAAAAATCGAAAAAAAAATGCGATCATCCTTAATTTTCCTTGAACGCTCGTGCATATAGAGAAGAGAAACACACCGAATGTGGGGTAGGAAAATAATGCACGCACCCAACCATAACTTGTTGAATCTGCCAGCAGCTTTTCCTGCAGGCAAATTTCACTGGGAAATTCAATATCTTTACTTGGCTGTGCGTATGTGTGCGAATGCTCGTTCGCCTGCCTGAGCGCCTAAAAAGCAGACATAATTAGTTTATGCCGAGATTTTTGCGTCTCTTATGGCGCGACACTTGGCCAAAGGAGCAGGAGCAGGAGCAGGAGCAGGACCAAAAGCAGGAGCAAGGACATTCCATTTGCCCCATCTAAATGCATTAAAGTTTGGGCAAAGTGCACACCATACAGGCCCCAAGTCCTTTGACCTACTCGTATTATTAGACCGGAAAATAATGCTTCAGGTCGCCCGCAGGGAAAATTCATTTGCCATTGAACGGAAAAGCCGATGCTTTCGTACGGCCAACAATAACGAATTTCTTTCAATAAAGCGGAAAAATGAACTGTAAATTAAGCCATTTGTAATTAATTGGCATATTTGTATAACCTCATCGATCGGTAACTTGGTAGTTGGGCAAAGTAGTGCATTTGGTATTAAAAAAGAAACATACATTTCAATAACACCTTGCCCCGTGTGGGCGTTATCTTATTATCACGCATATTTTTCCATCGATGCTTTTTGGGGCGGGGGCAACACTTGAAATCGTTATCAAATTGCCGACTCTCCGTTGCGCCCACATCCACGAGATTCTTTTGTGTCGCTCCTAAGACGTCGCCCTTTTATTTGAGTTTTATTTTAGGTTGAAAAATCAAAATTTTACACTCGGCTACACACTTGCAAAGGCTACCGAAAGTTATGGCTAGAAGGCGGCCGGGGAACTGGGACTACTTAGGCCATACATGCAAAAGTATCTGTACACAGGCGAAAAGAATCTTGTAAAGATTTGATTCGAATAAAGCAAACGGATGGCCCAGAAACGCTTGCCTGGTATTATATGTACAGCTATAATCATTGATTTAGAATGTGGAACTAGCTCCAGCCTTTACTCGCAGTGTATATTTACGTATTTGGTTATGTTTTTTGCGTGTATGTGCCTAAGTGCGTGTTTATGGCGCAATAAAACAGACCCTAACAGGCTCGCACACAAAGCGCAGGGGGGTGGCTTTGGAAGGGCGATGGGTGGGTGCTCATGGGCGGAGCGGATGGGGGTTGGACCTGGGAGCTGGGAGCTGGATGCTGGATGCTGGATGCTCGGAGGCAGGCGGCTGCAGGCTGGAGCATAGACATAAAGCAATCGCGTTGACTGCTCTTGCTGTTGCATGTTGCCAGGGCCAAATGAAGCAGCCAAAGCGAGACCCAAAAAACCAAAACTCGGAGCCAGACTAAGACCAAGGAGCAAGGATGCACCGAAAGAAATTATGGTGAGCCGCTATAAACTGTATCAAGTGTAATTAATGCAACAGCAGAAAATCCTCCTAGAAAATCCTCAAGTGTGCAATATGAAATAGACTTTGATTTGAAATAAACAGCTGCCTACCATAGACAGCTTTTTAAGAAAATGAAACACTGTGCAGCCATCACTTAAAATAATTTAAAATAAGTAAGCAACAAACATCTTTAGGCTCTTATTAATGTTAATCAATAATAGAGGCTATTATTAATGCTTATCAATAATAGAGGCTATTATTAATGCTTATCAATAATATAGGCTCTGCTTAATGCCTATCAATAATAAGTGATTAATTGTAGGAGAAATGAGTAGAAAATGAAAATTTGCGTTTATGCACAGTATTTTGTGCAGTGCCCACCAGCCAGACGAATGTGCTGGCCAAAAAGAGCAGCCCGAAAAGGAGAAAGGGGTAAAAGTGCCGGAGACAGTCAGCCAGCATCTTTCCGCTTGTCTGCGGCGCATTTATGACTTTCCCACCGAAGCTCTTGGCTTGCATAGCCTGCATGTAGGCGCACAGGCATATGTCTTATCACAGACACACAGATGCCCACACAGATACTCACACAGATACACAGATACACAGGCACGCAGACACACAAAGGCGCACCGACACACTCACATGGCTGGCTGCTGTCAAATGCCATACTAAACCGATAATCCAATCATAAGTTATAGTCAAATGAGTTTGCTCTTCAATAAATTTTCGCCTCTTTTTTCCCCTTGATGTCTTCGTCATGGCCAAAATGAAGTCCTACTGGCTGCTGTAGCCCAAAACACTTTGTCTCGAGGAGCATCATTGGAGATGCTTCCACACGAGCGCAGCAACCAATTAGAAACGGCATAAAAGTACCAGGTCGCTCTTTGAGGTAACAGGTGAGTGGCCTGCCAATAACGGTTATTGGTCTTTGGAATGTGCTCTCTTCGGGCGACATAATCACTCAATTTGCCACAGTTACAGGATGGGAAAATGCTTTAAAATGCTAAATAGTTACTGAAAGTATCTGGCACAGTAAATGACAACTATTTATTAACTTTGCCATTAAATCATTTGACCATTCGAAATTAAGCCGATTAAGAACTCGCTAATGATGTCAAATGATGTTTCGTTCTGTGTCCTGTGCCATGATGCACCGTGATGCTGGAATTTTTCATTAATTGGCCATCTTTCAACTCTTTTCATGTTTGAGTGGGGCTGGATTTGTATCGATAGGGGGCCATAAGCCCATGGTCAGTAAAATATGCTGGCGTATGCAGGACGTGCATATGCCGCGGATTGTTGCCTTTGTCATTTGCCATTTACAAGGATGTCCTTGCCCCCACATTTTCCACTTTTCCGCCGGACTTTCACCGCTCTTCCCGCTTTTTTCCCTCGCATTTCTCGCATTCAGCGACTGCTGTTGGTTGCCACTGCTACATCGTTGGCTTTTATGCGTATGTGTAACAACTATTAGAAAGGAGTAGCAAACAGAATGGAACAGGAGCAACAGGAGGACCTTCTGCCATGCCAGTCCCCATCCCGATCCCCACACTCAGACTCATACCCCCAATTTCCTTGTTCTGTGCCACGCGCATTATTTCTCTCATTCTTTGCTTCTTTCTGAAACATTTTTGGCCTCGCCCTGCGATACACTGGAAAAAGCGCTCGAGTTGTGTGTTTCACACGATGTTTCAGTATGATGTTTGAAGTTTGAAGTGAGCATAAATCTTTCCATATTCAACTGTTGCATTTCATTGTAAGCCTTTGGCACTATTAAAGGTATTTTCGCAGTAGAAGTTGCTTGACTTTTTCGAGGTGTGGCAAACATTTATGATGTCCTGCAATTGTCCCATTTCGCATGTGGCAGCTACATGTGTGTGTGCGTGTCCTGTTCTTTTGTTACAACGATTTTTGCGCAATTTCTTTTGTGCTTTGTGCAGCCGCCGCCGCCGACGCCTCCATTTTCCATTGCCGCTGTCATAACTGTCGCTTCGCAACAGCAACAGCAGCAGTAGCAGCAGCAGCAGCAGCAGCAGCAACATTGCTGCTGAGCACATGCAATTAGTGCCAAATGTTTCCATATTTTTGCAAAAACGGGGGAAGCAGGTGGGGCAACAATGCTGACCACAGCATTCAACAGCAGCAGCAGCAGCAGCAGCAGAAGCAGCAGCAGCAGCAGAAGCAGCAGCATTTGCCAAAGGAGCAGCCATTGGACCAAACATCACC